ACTCGCTGTCTACGTCACAGTTTTGTAGAATATGTGCCAATGCGTGACGTTATGCGACATTTCAACTCGATGTATCGCCGTAATTTATTGATAACTTGCTTACCTTAATTATCTTCTTTACTTCCTTTTGAATCACCCTATCTATGAAAAAAAACCGCATCAAAATCCATTGCGTAGTTTTAAGGATTTAATCATACATGTGGATATACGGACAGAGAAAGCGACTTTGTTTTATACTATGTAGTTATATTGATGCAATAAATAAAAAATACGTATTTAATATTTTTCAATAATCTACCTGACGGACAATAAACAAAACAAAAGCAAAAATTTGTCATCAAAGCCCTATTAAGCAAAGGGATCTATCCTAAATGTTAAGTATGGGATACTATGGGCGTCTGTCATACATGCATTTCTGAAGTACCTAAGTTTTCTTTTATGTATTTTTTCAATGAAATGTTGGTGTTCCGTTTGAACGTTTCAGTGTTTTCTACTTAATTTGGGATCAGAGTGATTATAATTGTTATTGTTCTGAATAATTGTTTTATAAATCAAATGCAAGACTCTTGCATATACATATATAGAAATCCACAGGTAAAACTTTTAGTTCCACTGAATCCACAAAATACTGAAGTAATTGAATTAACGAATAAACCAATTTTAGTTAGATAATTATGTTTAACTAAATTGCAACCCACAAAAGAAACATTTACAAAGGAAATTTGACTTATCAATCACACTTCTCACAATACTCTTTTAACACATCTATATAAATATAAAGCATACAAATTATTAAGCATAATAGTTCTTCCACAAAAAGTTTGTATAGACAGTAGGCATTTAAGACTATATATTGAAGAAAAAGCAGATATATTTTACTGGCTATATATTTAAAACTAAATTTGTTTTCCATATATCATCGTCAGCTTATTAGCGTCCCCACTACTGGTGCAAAACTGTTCCCTGTCGATGGAATTAAGTGGGGAGAATGGGCCACAATCCACCAGTATGGATTCATAGATTTTAAATCTCCAGATACACCCGGCTTAAACACGTGAAGAATTTGAGATAGTAAATTTTGATCACCCAGCCTTCCCAAAATTTGTTTTACTTACGCACGGCACGCTAATCAATGCGTCATCGAGCCCCTCGTATACTCAGAATGATTTATAAAACGTTGATTTAACATAACAAACAAAAAGTAAACGAAACTAATCACATTACCACCGCAAGGCCTCGAACCTGCATCGATCGACAGCGAAGCCGCGAGGAAGCCCCACTGCGTCAGAGCGTCACTCACACTGACATTTGATTCTACCAGCAGGTATATAAAAACGTTCTATTGAATCAATCAATAAAATATTATTTCAAAATGTTCTTGTCTTATTATTTATATGTTTAATAGATTATTTTGGTTGTTGTAGTTTTCTAAATTATACCTTATACTCATTCAATAACACTACTTTACTTTTGAAAAGTTACTAAAATTTTCAGACGTTTCAGATCTTTTAATAACGATAGCTGTAAAGGAATTAAATTATCATATATAAGTATTAGAATTATATTTTTTACGCACGGAGTAACTCCGTGATCATGGCGCTTGCAACAGCCGAAACATCGTGAACTCAATAAAAACAAGGTCGCAATGATAGGAAACATGGTAGCAATCTCGTAAAAAATATAATTCTAATGTAAATAAATAAATAAATATATAACAACATCACATACTTTGCTCAGATTCCAAGATGACTAGCTAACGCCCCCGAATTATAGAGTATCTGAGAGCTTAAAACAACAAATCATTTAAAATTAACTTCATTCAGACCTATTTTTGATAGAAATATATTTAATTAAAAAAAGAATTAAAACGTGGTGGCGTAAAGCCACAGTACTGTCAGAGATAATTAATTGCACGGTAAAAACGGTTTTTATTAAACGGTAAATATACTTTTTTTTAAAGCGTTAGATTAGATCCATTTCTTACCTATTGTAATTACCTACAACAAGTCCATACGTTTATAATTTTTTTTTTCTATTGCGTAGATTATTTTTTGAGATATATCATATAGTTTTCACACTTAGATTGAGCAGCTTGTGGATGTCATTTCTTAATACAAAACCAGTTGAAAGTTAGTGTTTTTAGGTTCATCCTCTTAAGGTCAGGCTGAATTTAGTAGGTATAATGTTCAATCACATATAGTCTAAATTTATAAAATTATCACGAAAGAAAAAAATCGCAATTCTACTCGTACTTGATACTCTTTTCTTTTATACTTCAAATTGATAAATATATGACTTTATACCTAATATAACGGAGCACTTTAACAACAATCACAATGGTTTCTTGCGAGTCATCACATCATCATCAGCCTTTCAATGTTACCCACCGCTGGAGCACAGGCCTTCCCTATGCATGGAATTGCATCAAATCGAATAAAGAGAATAGGCCATAACCTACCATGCTAGCCCAGTGCGGATTTGTGGGTGTTGACGACTGCAGATGCAGCCGGGACCAATGACTTAACGTACCTTCCGAAGCAAGGAGGAACTCATCATTGGTCACTCATCCTCTGACCAGCCCTTGCGGCTTAACAACTATATTATTTATTTATTGCATTCCACAATAGAATATTAGGATGTTTATAAAAAAAAAAGTATCATTATGGATCCCGTCGAGCACAGCAATTTGAAGAGAGGGGAGGGCACTGCTTTAAAATATTGGTAATAAGTATTTACTTTCTTTTATAAATTAAATAATTTATGTTTTGAAAACTTACCCATTTAGCAAATATTTAAATTAAGTTCATATTACAATTAAAATATTGTCTCGATTAAGGTTTGCAAGTAATTAATTAAAATAACAATTTAAATTTCATTCATTCTTTCATTAATTCTTAGTAGACTGTCGGTTTTCCCTCGACTTCTCTCGCGTAAATTACTTTTATCCTATGTATTCTGCTGAATTTGACGAAATTTTTATGGGATTTGGCTGGGTTTCGGAAGTACCTATTATCAAATAAAAAAGTATTTTTCATTAAGAATATTTTCATCTTCATCTCAGTATAGCACTGTGAATGCAAAATTAATCAAATATAATGAAAAAATTAAAGTTGGTTCATAAACCATATTTAAAGAAACCGTATACCTTAACAAAAGAATTGAGAACCTTCTTTTTGTTTGAAGTCGGTTAAACACTTGTTCTAAAAGGAAAGTTTATAACTTACATTCCTAGCTTAACTTTCAAACACACCTACAGCCGTTTTTTCACAATGTTGATGTGAAGAGCTTCAAATAATAAAGTTTGTAATATCATAGATAATTTACGTATATATTTGTGTAGCTATTGTTATATAAGATAGTGAAATATTTCTGTAAACACAATGGAATCAGTACGGTGTTTTTAAATACATAATTTATATTATTTAAAATTATATTAACAATAGTTATAGGATTTGTACTCCTTTGCTACGAAGTCAAAGTAAAAAAAAAGAAACCAGCAATGTTACCAATATTATGAATGAGCGAAATAAATAGTAGAAAATATTAAAACAAAGTATACACATTATTTATTAATGACGCCAGTGCACATTTGTTTATTTTTGCCCTTAGAGCTACTGTAGGTAATAATAGGCAGTGGCGTAGCTACAAAGGGGCTGGGCGGAGCAGTGCCCCGGGGCCCTCAAGCTCAGGGAGCCCTCGAAACTTTACCAGAAAATCTCAATCGAACTCAACTTTTGAAAATATCTCCCATTTTCAAAATAAATATGACAGGTGACAACTCGAGTTTAATCATGGTAACTCAGTTGTGAGAAAATTCAAATTTATAAAAAGGGAATTCCCCTAAATTATTTGTGTGGGTTGACAGTGTTATTAATGTTTTCATCAATTTGTCGGATATCAATATCTGCATATTATTATATATCGATAGGCGTTTTTTTGATTCGCGATTGTGAACTTCGAGTCAAGATTTTTTTTTCGAGAATGGTTAAAAAGTTAATGTATCAGGAGTAAGTAAGCGTATGTCAATACATTTTTTTTTCAATTATTATATTTCTATTGATAATTTTTGTAAATAGTTTGCATGGCGATAGGTTAAATAACAGTAAGCTGGTGCAACGTATCTATGAATAAATAAATATATAATAAACCCTTGAATCTTTTCTATTTCGTTTTATTGCCCAATACCTACATCAAGTATAAAAATAATTGTAATTTATGTTGTTAGTGTTTTATTACCTGCCCATGCACGAAAAAGAGCTGTTGATAAAGATGCTTAGCATTTTTAAAGTATTTGTATATTTAATAATTTTACTTCAAAAAACCTTACCAGTTTTGATAGCAGTGGGCCCCATTTTTTTATTTGCCCCAGGGCCCTAGGTTACCTAGATACGCCACTGATAATAGGGTAAGAAAAACATATGACTGCTGGTAAATGAAAATGTAATGCGGTTAAAAAGGAAGATCAAGGTAAACCATCAATTTCTTTTTACTCGTGCATGCACAGTAAACGACAAAAGGTATGTTTTTCGGATAATAGAGTCAAATCAATATCGAAAATTATTTAATGTAATATTTTATAATAATAATGTAACACTCTCTTACTAGTAGAGTAATATCTCGAGGCCTGTCTTACGTATTCTACTGCTATACAATGCGCAAATGTCGGCCGTCATCGCTTGGTGTACATACATTAGTGCATGGCTTATTGCTGCCTGACGTGAGACTTGCAATTTACGTATATATAGAGGTACAGCCTATTCTATACTAGTATAAAAAAAACAATCTATTAAAAACAGTATCACTAGAAGGCAGTACAGTATTCTTTTTTTATTTTATTTACTTAGCGACATATAAGTATTTATATATTTTTATTTCCAGAATGACATTTTTTATATTAAATGGTGACGAATTGAACACTATTATTCTTACTATTTATTATTTCCGTATGAATAGTGGTAATGAATGAATGGAAGTTATAAAATATTTTTAATGGCAACACCGTAACATAGTCAAACATGGCGCGTCTATATACTGCTCCGAAAATTCTTCATTTATTCCTTTTTTTCACACTTATTTTATGTTTTACGAGTTTAGTGACTACCAACCGTGAGCTGAATGAAGATAATTGGAGAGACATTCTCGAGGGCGAATGGATGGTTGAATTGTAAGTAATTTTCGATAGCCGGTATTGTAGTGAAAAACGTGTCAACTACTTGTATTTTTAGCTTCGAATTCTATAAAACCAGTGATTTTTGCATCTAAGACACCGGCGAACATTATCCGATCCATAGTTCTTTGCAAAATTTGTTATATGGATTCCCATGGGTTTGTAATTTACATTCTGAAGGGTTCAACAAACCTATGCAAGGTCGTCTGGGGTCTAAGAACCGTTTCAAAATCTATGACGCATTCATTTATTGTCTCCAAATTATACTAATTAAACATTCCCACTTTTGTAATAGTTTAGTAGGCCACTACTCCCTTCTATATCAATAAGACTCAATATTTTTATTTTATTTTCTTTTCTGTATATAACTTTGATGATATAGAAATGTGGAAATTACAATAGCTTGACATGTACATTTCTTGTTTTAACAACTTATCATCCAATTCAATTGTAACCATTAACATGTATGTTAATTACATAGCAATTTGAGGAATTCTTAGTAGATTTCAACTCCTTTTTTTCTTTTGTCATACATCAGCTGTTCATTTGTTTTGATAAACTTATTAGTTACATCGACTCTACAGAGTCCTATTAGAATTTAACAATAAGTTTCAATTTCAAATAACTATTTTAGGAGACTATCAGTGTGTTTATATGAAGAAATTGTAAAATGCAACAAATGTATTTTATTGTTTCAAAGTTATATAAGTTCCTTTCCTTACTCATTATCTGCCCACATTTAACACCCATTCAATTTACCTAAATGGCATCTTAAGACATTTTGACTGTGACTAATAATAAAATAAGACTGGCGTCAATAGTTTTAAAATAGACTAATTTACTTACCAGTAACATTTTGACTGATGATTGCATTAAGCAACTTTCCAATAAAATATGTTAAAATGTTATCTAATTCAATTAGTTACATATTATATGTAGGAATACATAAAGAATGTGATGAATATGGGTGTAGAGAGTAAATGAAAATGAATACATTCTTTTCTGCTTCTTTTATGCTTACTATATTCATAATATTTCTTAAACTAATTATAAAAAAAAACAAATGTTTTGCTCATTGTCAGTTCACTTCAAACAGAGTGTAACTTCACACCCTTACTCGTATCAGAACTTAGAGAATTCAACATAGAACTATATTAATTTCAGAGTACCATTATGTCATAGTTTACATGGGAAATTTTGAAATTTTAATTTAATTTCACTTATTATAAGAATGAAATTTTTTACATATAGGTTTCATGTATATCTATAAAATTAGTTTAGGGGTATACCCTATTGCGCTGGTAAACTTTGTATTAAAAAGTTTATAATAAAAATAATTGTATTTATTATTTATGCACCTTTAATTATTTTCCTCTATAAAAACTTTCATTGGACACCAACAAATATTAAAAATGTCTGGACTGATCAGACCATTCTCATGTTTGGAACTTATGAATTTATTTTAAACACATTTATGTTCTATTATGTTAGTATAGAATGTTAAAATGATTATTTAATTTGCAATAAATACTCCTTGACTGGACATATTGTTAAAAATCATACTTTAACTTTTATTTATTCATCATTATCAGCTCTTTTATGTCCCCACTGCAGGGGCTCAGGCTTTTCTTATGGATGGTTTAGGATAAGGGGCTATGACCAAGCTGGCCCAATACGGATTGAAGGGTATTAACAACTTTAAATGCAATGGGGACCAACGGCTTAATGTGCCTTCTTAAACACAGATTAGCTTGAGATAATTTTTGGTCACCCATCCCTTGTGAAAGAAGTTCACCACCGAGCTACTCTTACTACTACCTACTATCTTGATTTTTAAAAGAGCAAATATTTTTATTACTAAAAAATTAAGCGCTTCAAAGTACTGAAGATGTAGATGGAACTGAATGCAGAACATGACAAAACAATAACCAATTCCTTCAGAATTCTTTAAATGAAAATCTTTTAGAACAGTGTAGTCAAAACAATAATAAATTCCTTCAGAATATTAAAAAATATTTATATCCTTCAGAATATTTTTAGAAAAATGTGGTTTTCAGTTTTGGAAATCAAGCATTGTATCTTATACCATAGTAGGGCATGATATCTGTCCCAGCAGGTCGAAGATGCATACATTTATCCTGCTTGAAGCCACGTTAACACTGTTCAAACTTTGTACATAAGTAAATTTAATCTTAGAAATTAATATTCAAGTATCTTCGCCACAGCTACGCGCCATGGTGTCCCGCTTGCAACGCCCTAGCGCCGGCATGGCGCGATCTGTCGCAGCAGGCATCGCGCAAGTCCCTCGGCATGAAGGCCGCCGCCGTCGATGTGACAAAGTCACCTGGACTCAGCGGACGATTCGTAGTTACAGCACTACCAACTATATTCCAGTAAGTCGTCAATATAATATTTTCTTTACAAATTAGTAGTGTCCGACCGAAACCGAAACCCAACGGAAAAAGGCCGAAACCGAAACTTCCTTACAAGGATCGTATTTTGAGGGAAAAATAAAAGTCTAAAAACAGAAACAGAAATGAAATATTAATTTTAATATACGGATATCTAAGAGGTACCTATGTAAGTTCTCATTGAATTATGTATTTATGTGTGAAAATAATTTTACAAAACAAAATTGATAGTACGTAAGTTAGTAGGTATCTATTGTACTTGCCATTTGGATACCTTGGTAATAAATACTAAAATGAACTTTGAAACTCTGAATCCATAATATAATCACCATAAAATGCACTATAGTCATTACTTACTACCTAACTGATGTTTGTTTACGTTTTTTATAGGTTAGACTAAACTTGATTATATTTTAATCAGTCATAGAATATATACATATATATATTTTATGTTATAACGACATAAAATTAAATAAAACATACCAAATTCAAATTTAATCACTCGAAAACTAGCCAGTGGCGAGTCGCCAACACAACAAAAGAAAACGAACTGCAAACCCAAGCAAATCACGACATTGGCTAGGATGGGATTCATTAATTCAACGCGCCGAATATGACCGATCACAGCACGAAAACTCTCGAATGCATATTCGGTTTCGGCAGGTTTGTCGCCGAAAACAAAACTAAACCGAAACTCGTGTTTATGCCGAAACTTGACCGAAAACGAAACCGAACTTTTGGTCGGACACCACAAATTTACTTGTATTGCCTTAAGGATTCCATGCACTACCCCAAAAATCCAAATATTAAGATATTTTATGTTCCGCCCTGTCGAACCAATCTGGGACGCACTTCTCATGTAGTCAGAATGTATAATAAGTACTATAGCATAGTCATTGATGTCGCAAGCGATCTCAATATATTTTATGATGCAATGAGCCCCATTTTAAGCTGGAATTAATTATAAATGTAATTTTAGTAGATAGTGCTATATAATTGTGAATGTTGTACATACATAATACCTACAATAATCTGAAGACTGCGATCGCATACTGATATCGGTTGCTAACTTGTATCGATCGTATTTTAACGATTATTGTAAGTCTCTGCATATAAGATTATATTTTTGTTAGGTACGCACTGAGTTAAATTGTCAAATTATTAACTGCCATATTCATTAGTTTCCTAGTGATCAAGTTTGATAGCTTGGTCAGTAAACTTTGCAATGTATGTTAATATTGCATGCCCGCTACAGTTTGGTGGATATTAAAAATTGCAGATACAGCAACGACCAAAGGCTTAAAATAACCCCACTAACTGTATGTTAAGTAAATATATCATTGATTCTGATTACATGTACATCTTGTACATCTAATAGTCAGCCTCAACTAGACTCAAACTTGTTTGATATTATGAAGCAAATGTCTGAGTATGCTTTGCTCGCTCTATACTATTAGTTAAACTGTTGCATGTATTTTTGTTATTAGTGTAAAAGACGGCGAGTTCCGCCAATACAAGGGCCCGCGTGATGTAGCCTCTATGCTCGGTTTCGTCGAGCAACAGAGATGGAAACAAACTGAACCGATACCCGGATGGAAGGCACCGGACTCCCTGCAAATGACCCTCGTGGCGGAATTCTTTAAACTCAGCCAAGTACTCAGGGTAAAGTACCAATTTATTTTTAAATTATCACATTGTTTCGGTATAAAGGTAGAACAAAAAAGCTGATTTAGAATTCTAATAGTTATCAAGATTGATCTTGCTTACTATAAAGTACAAAATAGTACCGAATTCCTTTTTTTCGACATTTACAACTTCCACTGGATGACAAGCAGTTTTCCTATTCAACGCTTATGGAAATATATTGAAACAGTTTTGTTCTATTTTAAAGATAATTTTAATTTATTATTTTGCTATATCTGGCTCGAAGGACCAACATTTAGAAATATTTTAATCTCGTTAGATAGTCACAATAGTTTACAGATAACATATATGGCACATGGTGAATCTTCTTTTTCATGCAGGGCAGACTCTTCAAATCTGACAACGACCATGTGTATGATTACTTTTGTTATTAATATGTCCCCAGGGTAAACGAAAAAACAAACTATGACCCAAGGATAATGTTAAAAGTAAATAATATAGGTTGTTATCCATAGAACTGTATTGTTTTCACAAAATATTGCATTTTGTTGTACTAGCCTATTTGGACACTGACCCCATCCTGTACAATTGAATGCAGCACTTCGTGATAATGATACAGAGTGTATGGTAACGAGTAGTATTGATTACTTTAAATGCTCATATAATGCTTTGGGTCAATGCCCGTACGTTTGCACTAATAACTAAATCAACAATACTAAGCTGTATGGAAAGACTGTATATTGAAAAATGTACCCTTTGGTTGTATTTCAGAGTGTCCATAACACCTTGATGGAGACATATGGCTTGCCAACGTGGGGCTCTTATCTCATTTTTGCTATCGTCACCATATTTGTTGGTGCACTTCTGGGATTGGTAAGTATATCGCCCTTAGGGTTGCCAACCATACTCTAATACCTTTAAAAATCCTTTGAAATCAGATTCTTCTAATAAAAGGTGGCAAATCGAATCGCCATACGCATATCTGACACCTATAGGTTAGTGCTTCATAATTTTCCTCTTTTTTTAATTTCATTATATATTTTATTTACAGAATTAGTCCTATGAAGGTCCTAAGGTGCGATTGCCTATCTCTCTAGCCATAGGATACGATATCTTATCGATGTGTTGACGATATTTCGTTTCATCTTTCTTCTATGACATGTCTTTTGGTGGATAAATTAGGGAAAGTACTAATTTGATTTGGTTGCTGTCAAATCTACAATCATTATTCTTATTATTCGTTCTTCGTTAATCAAGAACATGTTGAAGTCAAATGAAACAAAAACGCTAAGATATCGTATCTTATGGCTAGAATCATGGCAAAAGAGATAGGTGTGTACTTACATTGCCTTTAACGGAATGAATAATTAATAAATTACCATTATTATAGATACTGGTGTGCATCATCGACTTGTTGTATCCACCGCGTCGTGCTGATAAAGTGTTTGTCAGTCAAGCAGAAGTGGACAAAATGGCCGAAGGGGATCAGCATGGAAAGAAGGATGAACACGAACAGGTAATTATAGTATTGAAAAAATTGATATAAAAAATATATCATACCGACATAATATGTGGACAAAATTAACAATGATGTAATTGGCTATTTAACAATTATAACAATAAATTATGAAGTATGCTAGAAATGATAACTAACATGTAAGTAATAATTATGTAGTAATTTTTGTTTTAAAATAAATTGTAAGTATATTTCAATAAAATAAAGTTTTAATATGGGGCGAATAAATCGAAGCATAGTATGACGTCATTTCAGTAAACTAATCGTCAGTCTTAATTTATGAAGCTTATGTTTATGGAAGTGTGACGTCACGACTCGAAAAGTCACGCGACTTACTGTTCTGGTGGGGGGGCTATTTAAATTAATGAATCAAATTGTGTTACCTATTTTTAATAAAAATTTTGGTGTAAAATAAATTTGGTGCTGGTTTAATATGATCATATGACAGTTTTAAAATATTTTTCCCAAAAGACTCAAGCTCGGTTCGCTAGCATTATAATAAAATTTCACTTTTTTTATATAGGAACTATTGAATGATGACATCGTAGACGACGCTGATACGGCGAACAGTGACGCCGAAAGAAACTCCCCGAGTGATGTGAGTACCAAAGTCGAGACTAATCTAAGATATTCTTTTTTTTTATCAAATACAAATGAGAATTGCACATTATGCCTCAAATAAATTCATTCCTACCACTAGAAGTACCCTCATTATTTAAAATTTATTTTAATTGTTACTCAACATGTGAACCCTGTTTACTGAAGCATGTCCAAAGTCTTATTCTGACTTTCATTTTTGTTACTCTTATGATCAGACATTATCGAATTTCTTGTGCTACCCTCGGAATACGCTAGTTGAGCTTTCAATGTTGTCAGGTGTAACATATACCAAATCCTTCATATGAGCCCATAGATAAAAATTAAATTAATAAAAAGAAAGCCCCGCGTCCAATCCCACGAACCAAATTGACCATTTTAAACAAAAACTCAGTCAAAATGTAATAGGGCCCTTAATTCATGATTACATGACTGTATTACAGACTTCTGAGGACGAAAAAGAAAAACCCCAAGATGGCGGCGACTCCAAATTGGACAAAGAACGACCCACTGAGGTCCGCAAACGACGGCCCAGGAAGGCTGATTAACTACATTACACATATATACATTAACAACATAAATATATGCTGATAATTTGGTGGTTGTTTTCCTGTAGTTTAATATTATGTCTTTATTACACTTGTGATTGCGTGAAACAAATTTATACCGTAATAATACGTATAAAAGATTTTTTTACTTTGAACGCTGTCAAATTATGATTCAACTGAATCTACATACATAATCAAATGTATATCGTTACATCTAACGCATATAAGTTGTTGGTTTTTCTTTTTTTTATTTATATTTATAAACAATTGTTTTTCAATAGTGCTATAAGAGCATATTGTTTTGCTACTGGAAAACAACGGCTATAATTTCAACATGTATATTCTGTATGCTCAACTATTAAAGCCAGTGCTGCCACCTTACCGCTTTTAAAGTTTCCAGTTTTTATAAGTTAACTCCTCAATTATGATTATTCCCAGCCGTTTACTAATATATTATTTGGCTAATGACTATTTCAGAGTAACAACTGATAATTTCATATCAGCTGAAATCTTTCTATTTTTTATTTAATTAATAACAGGCACTGGATTTTTGCCATTATTCCTAAACTAAAAATTGCCATTAACAATATAGAAGGTACAAGTCTTCCTTTTTATGTCATCATTATAAAAATATTTAATGAATTCTATTATCCATAATCGAATGAAGAAAGTGGTAGCAGGTGGTAAATTAATACAACGTAAATGAAAAGGAGAAATCATTTTATGATATCACTGAAAAATATATGCTATTATAACGATTTAAAGAGCAAAATTGTTTAATTACTTATGCGTGCCCTCACGAGTGTATTGCAAAATTGATGACGTCATAACACAACTATTTACTAAACACACTAGTATAGTAAAGGCTTTACTAATAAGCTGAATAGATTTTGTAATTATACAATGTTTTGTCTTTTTCGCTCGAACTAAAAGTTACATTGAAAGGACGCAGACAGTACAGCTTATTAGTAAGGCCATAAATGTATGTAAACTTAGGTAGACACATATAAGTAAATAATTATTATCTTATAGTATATTTCACACGATTTTTTGAACGTGAGATTATTAGAAATATTGACTGTTAGAAATACAAATAATATCTGGTATTATTTGTCACTAAGCTGTTAATTTTCACCAAGTTCAAATACTTTTTTTTGTGATGTCATAGTTTTATTGATAAACGTAATGAGCCCGCAGAAATCGACCAGTGTGACTGAGTCGTTAGGTAGTGCAAAATTATACTACCTTTGTGGCATATTAACGAATAAAATATATTGAATATTGTATGTATAAGAACGGTTTTAATATATCCTATGCAAATTATGTAGGTAAATATTATTATAGTTTATGTTTCGGAGTTGTTTGTATTTTTAAAAGTCAATATTCGTCTATGGTTGTTCACATTAGTATGAACCAGTTTTAAGTTAGTTACATCATTAAATCAATTCATTATAATTGATATCTAATGGTTATTGTGAATGACCGATTAGCAAACCACTATTTATATTCACCAATTATACGACTATTATTTGCGCACCAAAATGTAGAATTTTAAGAAGTTTGTATTCAAAATATCATCAAAGCAGGCTTTCTCAAACTATTGGCTCCACGAACCCCCGAAAATATGGAATAAAAGATTCCAAATGATAGTGAACTCCTTAACTAACCAATTAAATCCCTCCACCCTCCCCCAAAAGAAAATAATAGAATTGGTCGTTGAAGATAATGAGGTTTTTGTTTGAATAAAAGTTAAATTGAGGAGTTATTATGGACAAATTTTAACTTTCATTGTAAAGCCATCCAACCGCTATTACGTAAATCTTATCGCGGACCCCCTACCGTCGAACGAACCCTATTGGTTAGCCATCTCCATTTTGAGAAACCTTGCACTAAAGCATTACGTATATTTTTTATAATTTTCTGTTTTCGGCACTTAGATGTCTACGTAGATATATTGATCATTCATTTATTAACAAAAGTATTATCATTTAATCTTATTAATCACATTTTAATTCTTAGTAATTTAAGTTGTGTCATTGCAGAAAGAAAGAGATATGCAGATGCGATAGAGAAATTGAAATTCGTGTTGAATAGTGTTTTTTTTTTAATTATTATTTATACACATTCCTAAACTGCCCGAAAGCTCAAGATCAATGTCTTTATACGTACTTATGAGATTTTATTTAAAACATGTATTTTAGGAGGAATACTCAAAAGCTCTGTTTATTTATAATTAATTTTCTTGTGAAATTTGCCCGAGTTGTATATTAAATTTAATAATAATCATGTAAAATATGATGTGTTTAATTCTTATGCTGATACGAGTGGAAAGTAAAAAAATATACATTTTATTGTATATTGTGGCAAAGGAATCGACATAATTTATCTTTGTTAGTGATACATTTAATGTTATTTGTTAGTGATACATAAACATTTTATATTAATGTATGAAAAGTCTTGAAGTTAGGAAAACAAAATTCGCAATCAAAATTTTCTTCAATGAATATTTCGTTGGTAAAACAAAACAGCTAATCAGATTTTTATGGAGCCACCTAGTGACTAAAATAAAAAGTTTACCAATGAATATCGGTACTCATTTCCAACGGATAATTAAAAATTGCGTCTTCTTATTTTTTGTTTTATTGAAATGGAATGGATTTAAAATCGAAACATTTTAAAAATAATTTTGCAAAGAGTAAGTATACAGTTCGATTTCTTTGCTTCCACAGTAAAAATCTGATTTGATGCATTTATATTTTTATCTCGTATAACTATAAGGTTATATCTTCGTTTTTTATCGTTTTATATAAAATTATAAACAAATATTTCAAAATCGGTTCGCTAGCGTCAGTTTAGTATATATTTGCTTTCCGCTAACAATGGATACTGTTGATATAAATTGCCTTGTACAAAGACTTAAAATTGTATAAGTGTTGCGTTTATTAACTAGTGACTTGATGAATAAATTAAAAATATGAATTTATTGTCTTTTATTATTACCCGGGACTCTATCAAGCATTTTTTCTAGAGTAATGTATAACTAGCTTATAACTAGCTTGGACCTAGTATAACTAGCTTATATTAGGCTAGTTATACTAGTGCTAATATAAGCTAGTTATACTAGGTCCAAGTTTATAACAAACTAGTGGACGCCCGCGACTTCGTCCGCGTGGAAGTCGGTATCCCGTGGGAGTGAGAAGTTTTCCCAGTAAAAAGTACCCTATGTGTTATTCTGATGTATAACCTATATTGCTGTAAAGTTTTATCCAAATCCGTCCAGTAGTTTTTTCGTGAAAGAGTAACAAACATCCATACATCCATACTTACAAACTTTCGCCTTTATAATATTAATAGGATATTTTTATGTTCTATAAAGACAAAAGTTTTGATTAATGTCCGATCGAATGTTGGGTTTCAGTCGAGTTTCGGGATAAAAAACCGGGTTTCGGATATTATTGAATTCAGCAGACAGCTTGTTTCGCGCGGTCTTGGAAAAACTTGAACTTTGATTGTTATGGATACAGTAAATTTCCCCAAAATTAAATATGTAATGGGCTTATCTTGTAATAAAGAATAATTTAAATTTATTTTTCTAAATTAGTCAAATAAACTTTTAAATAAACACCTCACCTATTTTAAGTGTTTCTAAGGCGCAATTAATTTCTTTTCTTAAATAAGGAGTTGTTATACTCAGTATTATTAAGTGAAAATGTCAAAGACTGCATAGATTTGACATACAAAAAACCGCTTTCTTGAAAAGTAATAAAATTGGAAATATTATTAAAATTATTTTATTTATGTCTTATAAAGCGAGGGAGTCCATATTTAAAGAATTATTTTTATAAGTATCACGGTAATGATAATCATGATATCATACCTTTTTAAAATCTTTGTGTTAAGCCTTCAATTCGATACCTATATTATATCGGCTGAAAGCGAAACTGAGCCTGTTGCCGAAATTCGGTTTCGGTTATAAAAACCAGTTTCGGTCGGACACTAGATTGTTTGCATTGAAATAAGCTCCGAAACTACTGGACAGATTTTAAAATTCTTTCACATATGGAAAGCTCCACCATACGCGGGTGACATGGGCACACATGGCTCCAGGTCTCTATGTCAAATTTTTCCAGCTGATTTTAAACTCTACCCACCAAACATTCAGCTTTAAAATGAAGTGGAGAGATTTAGCAGATTTGTTTAACCTGGCGTGCTGTTGACTGTACCTACCAGATTATTTTTTAATAACACATGTCAAGAAAGCTTACTATAAGGTACCCGATTATTACAACAAATAAAAATGCTTATGTTACAGCTATGTAACACCACGGTTTATGTAAAGTAAACATCGTTATAGTCTAAGAGATCGTGTCAAAAAAGTGAGTATGTTGAAAATATAAATCACTCCAGTACCCAATGGTGGTATTTAAAGTACGAAAAATCGTAACACACATTAAAAGTGCTTTAGTATAGTTTCAAATTAGCAAAAAGCTTAGGAAACGCGGCTACTCAACAGATCCCCGAAGTCAGTGTGAAAAATAAACTCTGAAAAATAAAGATTAATTAATTGCTTGAAATGTCATAAATGGATTCACATATTTCGCCGGATACCCGACACGCGAGAGAGTATCTAAATTATTAGAAGTCATTTCATAAAATAAATACTCAAGACTTTCATTTGATACAACTAGAAATAGAATATTCAACAAAGCTAGAACTTTGTTTCGCGCTGCCGCAACCAGGTGACATCCTCACTGGGTACTAGTGATGTTATTTCAACATATTCAAATAACAACTTTAGAAAACTGTTGCACAATTTTGCCACGAACTATCCGTCTATTAATTCTGTTAGAGCTGGTTTCTTTGCCCGTTCTTCTTATCAGCCAAAAAATATTCAGAACTAGTGGTAGGAAATATATGTTAGACGATCCAAGAGTACTTTTAATAATTTGTTTAGCTAATATTGACTTTGACATCGTCGACCCCTAAAATCCGTTTGTGGGGACCCATGGGGAAACCTTTATCGACCACTTTGGAAATCCATGTCCTGCGCTATATGCCTCTTCAGAGACTGATTGAGATTGAAGTCTTATGAAAACAGTAATTAAACTATAATGAGGCGAAAGATGTATGCAAGTACCGTACTTTGTGGAGCTCGGTACTCTTGCCTACCCCGCCAGGGATACAGTGTAAAGATATAAATAGACGTCTTATAAAAATAAAAACAATCAGTTTCATTCAAATGTTTCTTTATTAAGATATTTACATAAAATAATTAAGTATTGAATTTCATGTAATTGCAAATTTATAGTTAATAATTTCGATTTACATACAAATTATAAATTATTATGTGTGTTAGATACAAGGAAGATACTTAGGGAATAGGCTAACAATATAATAATACTTTCACTAACTCTTGCTTCAAAACTATGCAAATTCGTTCAAGCTATGTTTCGTTAATCTATTACATAATTTTTGCCACACAAAGCTGAATTTCTGCAAACAATTTTGAACTTAATTATCAGCAGATCAAAACTTACAATCGTTTGGAGAAATTTTGCCTTTTGTAGCAACCTGAGTTTTGTAGAATGTTCATGCAACATTATAAACAGGAGACAATGTTTCGTTATTCAAACGGTCACAACGAATGTCATCGCACGATAATTTTATTTATATGTAAAAAAGTCTCGAATACAATCGGATTTACAAAATGGCGCGATGTTATAAAATGGCACCTTTCTCAGAAAAACAAGTTTCTATACATTATAAGTTGCAAGTTCATATATTGTACCAATGTGAGTCCTCTCGATTCGCTACTTATTCCATCATTACAAACTCACTATTATATAGTGTGACTCGATAATTTTGTGACATTATGAAAAAAAAATATAAACGGGCAAAAATTCTCATGATTTTAAAAGTTTATTTTAAATATTGTCTGATCTTTTAAATTGATAATCTTATTTATATATTTTAATCACATAAACGTATTTTCCAATTATATAAAATGCAAAAACTTTTATATCAATTTAGCAAAATCTACTGCTTTGATACACAACTGCGTTTGGTAACAGATATCTACGTAAGGAAATTACTGTCTGGAAATTATTTTTGTTTTCTATAAAGTAATATATTTTCCAAACACAATTGCGTATCAGACCGATTCACTACTCCATTATAAAGTCAATTATTATATTTGTATAGTATAACCAACAATTCTGCCTCCTATGTTATGTAAATTTAACAATTTAGCTTATTTTTAGATAAAAAATGCTTGCCGATATATTTCCAATATTTACGTTTGATAAATACTTGATATCAATTGACTATATTCGTTTTATTAAGATTGAAAATAATTAAAAAACACCGCTATATATGTTTAATGTAAATGAATAAATTGTTTTAAATGTCCTTAAAAAACTATGTATATAAAGTACCGGAAATCTTGAATTATTAAAATATGTATGTATGATTATTTTCTTCATTATAAATTAATTCATTTTAAAGGTTCGGTTTTTTTTTTTTAATAATTACTAAAAAGTATCTAAACGAAATGTTATTGTCGAGTTTTACGGGAGTTAAAAATCAAATATGGTGATTACTTTCAACCTTAAATAAATATAATAAAAACACTATCATTCGCAATGTATAATTACGTACTACAATTGTATTATTTCACTTATATTTTGTTCGTAGCCGTTTAAAGTTACGTCTCATAAATAAATCAAATTAAAATATTACAATGAGTTCTTTGCTATTCCATAATCATCACAATCCACAATTTTTATTTATACATAAAGCAATATACTAATACAGTCAGTTCTGGTACAAATTCATATAATAATTTATATATATAATAATAATAATAATACAAAAGCTAATAATTACACTAAATTATTACACATTTTATATATACACCGACCGTCATAAGTCAGATTTACAGATCTTTGGAAAACTCACACGGATCGATGTTTAAAAGTTAGGTAAAGAGAAAACAGTATAAGAATTTATATTTTGTTCAATTGGATCATTTTTGATTAAGCAACAATATATCAAATGATAATTCCATGAGATTCATAATTTATATTACACAAATTTACTTTCCACATAATAATCTTAACTATGAATAAAATGTGGTATTCTCAACTCCACAAAATCATTTGTTACAAACGTACAGGTACATATCAAATTATGCAAAATGGGTTACTTTTATGTCCATTTAATTTTAATCAAATTAAAATGTATTACACATCTTGTGATAACCTGATATACTTTTAAATTTCTTGCTTGACCAAAAATGATCTTAACATCATGTTGTCACAAGTTATAAATTAAATTAAAAATATGAGTTTCAACTAAATTAAACTAATTATTTATTACGCTTAAAAATATATTGAAAAAGGTACAAAATCTGTTCATAATCATTATAATACGTTACGGTCGTACAAACATAAAAGAGACTAGATTGTTAAAATTAAACTACAATTATATTCATTTGCCTTAAATGTTAAAATCAATCACATGTTATAAAATGAGATTATTCAGTTAGTTTTCAAGACGGTACTGTGAAATTCAATTCATATATTTTTTTACAATACAATCGATGTCCTTTTGTATACAAAACGATATAACTCAAGAAACACAAGATTTTCTTATTTTATTCAATAAGGTGGAACTGTTTTTGACTGTCAAAATATGACGCTAATGTTCTAATTCGATGATTTTTTCATGAATGAAAATGTTTGATTATGTTGTTATAATAATAAAATTTTGCTACCGCTTATATTGTCATGAACTATGGAATGATGTTATTTTGATTCTCAATATAGTTGCTTATATTTGTCTAGTAGAAAAAAAAAAAACTGACAGTTTAAGACGATAAAGAAGGAATTGGATGGGATATCAATGTTTTCATTTATTTATATTAAAAATTGGTTCGAGTTTCATGACCATTTTTTTACTTATTACAAT